AAACTCAGTTAACCTGCGATAATCGCTGCGGGTCCAAGCAACGGACGATATTGATAAATTTAGAATCCTGAACAGTTTCCATGGGAAGGTTGTAGAGATTCACCACGCAAATGCTGCGACAGCCCGGTGGAAATACACGGACAGCAATGGTCTCCAGGAGGTCTTTGACAGGGAGCGACAGGCGCTCGCACGGCAGAGAGTGGCGCACCAAAATGGAAACGCCACCACCGCGCCCAGTGCGGCCTGAAGAAAGTCATTATGGCCTGAAACTTTTGCCGCTACGTCACCACGGTTACTTATTTCCTGGAGAAGAACGATGTCAGGTTGGGGCAGCTCCCATCGCGCAGCAAATAAAATCTTTTCTACGGACGAGAGGCCTGCAACGTTGAGCTGCCAAATATTAATGTAGCCATCCTCCTCGGTGCCAGGGTTCTTGTGGACGTCACCGCAACTGGTGATATCAACGGCGTGACCGCCGCGAAACGGTCGTGCAGTTTTGTCCGACAGTCCGCAGGCACACCGCCTCACCTCCCCACACCGGGCATGGCGTGGTACCTTCTCGAGGGGTGAATTCGTCTTGGTCTCCGTCGTGCTCGCAGCAACGCCCTGCTACACAGTTGATATACGCAACCAGAGCCCCAGCACCGCGAAAGGGTACGGACCTCATTGCTGGAGTACACTGCAATACATATATCGTGTAATTGTCGTTAAGTTCTTACCCACAGTCACAAAAAAAAAAAGCAAGGCATTTAGGGGCAAATACAGCCACAGCGGGGCGTCAAAAAACAAACAAACGAGATGAATGGTGAAAAGCAACACTGCACGGCTGCCCACGCTGCGGCAAGCCGCGGGACACATGCTGGAAAGTAAAATAAAACAAAAACAAATTCGTCTTCCATTATGTATTCACTCAAAAAAACAAAAAGCTGCACGTTGGTGCGCGTGTCTCGCCCGAAGATAACAAAATAAGATACACTCGTTATAGCCGTTTAAACCCCAGGTGCCCACACATTATTTATATTCCACTGGGACACTCGGCGTGGTTTCGTGCCCCCCATTCCATTGTCTCTTTTATTAGCCGGCGCCGTCGGAGTGACACACAAAGCCGAGCGCGCCTCTGGTCAAACAAACAAACAAAAAACAAGAACACTGAGTAGATCTCGCCGTTGTCGGAGGACCACAACACGGGGGGAGATTAAAAAAACAAACAAACAAAAACCACGCGATGATGACCTCGGGGGGAGCATGCTTCCACATGGAGGAAGGGGCCTGCGCGGCGAGGAGATCGTAAAAAAAAAATAAGTAAAAAAAGCGTGCACAAGAAGTGGCGACTATTCCAGAAGGTGCGTGGGGAGACGCAAATGTCCCCACCGGAGGCAGGGGCCCCGCCGCGTTACGCCCCGTAAAGGGCCGAAAAGCCGCACAGCCCCAGCAGCAACACCCGAGACACGCCCCCACGCATGGAGCCGTCACCTTTACCTTTTTTGGCGTCGCTTTTCCTGACCAGTTTTAGTTCACCGACACTCAGTGGGCGGTCGTACAGAAAGACGTTCGTCACCGTCACATCGCTGCCGCTGCCTCCCTCGTCGCCCCCAAAGTAGAATTGTGGGATTTCAAACCCCTGCGTCTCAAGTGTCGTATCGTCTCCGAGCTCCCCACAATCACACCATCCACGTACACGGAGCCCTTGTTGCCGTCCTGCAGCATCAGCGCCACCTGGTGTTCTTTCTCCCCGGCTCCCACGTGGTGTCCTGTGCTTTTGTTGTCCCATCAAACACCGTCTCCCACCTACTTTCCGCGTTGTGCGACAGCCCAATGAAGTTCGTGCTGACGGGTGCATCCAGACCCGCACCCGGTAGAGGAGTGCCCAACTTCGGAAAATTTTTGGATCATCACCTTCGCCACAATAGTGAAATCGCAGCTTACAAAGGTATGCGGTCCATTATGCTCCCGGCTGCTCACGGGCCACGTTGCCCCAGAACCAAGCCCCGTGAATTCAAACCCATCTTTGGCCTTCATTGTATTCTTTGTAACAATTGCATTCACGCAAATGTAATCGTCAATCCACGTGTCACCACCGGATGATGCGTTGGACAGGAAACCAACCAGACCCGTCGTGGGTGTAAACAACTCAGAGGAGAAATCCAGCTGTGCCCAACTCTTCAAGACGTAATTGATCATCTGTAGCCCCTCGGTTAGTGGGACAGGTGAAATGGTGTTGCTTGCTTTAATAATCCCATCCTGCAAAATGTGCAACGCACCATCCGAGTGCAGCAGGGTGTGAAAACGTTCCAAGTTATTATCCATGGCAACAGGTCCAAAAGAAACGTGCGGTTGTTTTCCATGACCCAAAGATGGAACACATTTTCCTTTTTCTCCCCCGAGAAGTACCTTTTCCAATCGTACAGCATCACCTTCACTCCCTCAATGATCGCGGTGATAGGGCTCCCAGAGGCAAATTGTCTTCCCGAAAGACTCCCAATTGTGAATTGGTCCACACGCCTGAGAGTGTCCCAAGTACCCTCGTCCACGTTGCCCCCATGTCACGCGAATCAAACAAACTCTGGTCATCTTTACACTGAACGATCATGAAAATTTGTCTCCTATTCCATTCGGTGATGCGGGGGTTAAAGCATTCCGCAGGAGAAATGCCCTCTGGGAACACCCAGTTGTTGCCGTTGTCCGTCGAATAAGTGATCCTGGAGAAAGATTGATTTTCCCCATTCCTCGCCCTCAGGGTAAACACAAGTGTGCCACCCTGCATCACAATGCCTGAACTACCACCCTCAAAATCCGACAGGTTGCTTTTAATCCTTTGGGGGATCTGTCGTGAAAGTGACTTGGGTTCAGCCCAGTCGATCAATTTACTTTGCATGCCGTCATTGGAGTGCGTGGCATCACCCTCAGCCAGTTGAATATCCCAGCCATCCGTATTATAGCGACCATAATTTTTTCCACATATTGTGACTCTCCACAAGTAGAAGCACTTTATTGTCCTTTGCAATCGCTGTGGAGTTGCACGCAACACCAAAAAGATCCTCTTCATTCACTGTACTAAACAGTGTGCGTACCCTCCATTTATCCTTATTGTTCTCGGCGGCAATTAACGGCCACCTCCCCGCGGCGTTGATTTACCCCGCCACAATATCAGAGGGAAGCACATTCAATCTATAGTGGGAGGCTTTATACTCGGTGTGACCTTCAGCAAATGCAATCATCACTCCACCAGCACGGACAAGAGAAGGCGCAGCGAATGAATCCCTCATTCCACTCTTGCCAGAACCACTTTTTATTACCATCGGCGTCTTCATCGGCAAATAAATGTCAACCGGTTGTGGCATTCGCACATCCCCTGACTTATCGCCCTTCTACGTTAGCAGCCCAACCAGTGCCGCAGCACATCATCATGACGAGGAGTAGCAACACCGCAAAAGTAAACAAGCGCTTGGACATGTTGGGGCTCTGTTGCTCACTCTCTCTTCCTTCCCTCCTCCTTCCGCTGGATCCGGTCACGCGGCGACGGTTGTGTGTGCGGGGTGCCTTCACTGCAGCAACACGTGAGAGCATATAAATACGTGTGTGTGTGGGCGGTGTGTGTGTTGTTGGTCCTTTCTGAGCCTTCGAATTTCACAGTGGCGATTCGCGCTTGTTTTCTTTCTTTCCTAGCGTGTCTGTGCTCAAGAAGTGGAGAATACAGCAACAGCGGCAATACACCAGAAAGGTCAGCGGTGAGCAGAGCAGAGCACCCAAGCGGAGAGCGGGGCACGAGACAATCCGGAAGGGACGGCACGGAGGACCATCGCCCACAGAAAAGAGCAGCAACACGGCAAGTCACGGCGGGCCGTCGGTGTGTGCGGGCCAGCCCTCACGCGGTGCAACACGCCACACCCAACAGGAAATGACAGGCAGGCAGAGAGAAATGAATGGATGCCGTCAGGACGCACTCACAATCCACATGGCCCGTGAGCATGCGGCCACTCCACGCAGGAACACAGAAGAAAAGGATGAGAGGGGAAAAAAGCAAGAAGCAACACAACACACACGGAAGGAAAAAATTACAAGCGGGAAAAGCACCGCCACGTCCCTCACCCTGGCCGGCAACTCCATACCAGCCCACACACACACACACACACACACCATCGCAGTGCCGTCAGTCCGCAGGTAAGAGGATTCGGCCCTCCACACAAAAAACGCGCACAGAGCCAGCAATCACCCAACATGGAAGAGGAGAAGAGACCCACCGCCACCACCTCCAGTTCAATCCCAAAGCCAACGGGATACGGCCACAGCCCGCAGCCGGCACACAACGCACACCGAGCTAGCAATCACCTAAAGAGCCACACGCAAAATTGATTCCCCATCCATCCATGACGCAGCGCCTCACTCCATGCGGTCACACGGAGCGCATTGTTTCCCCAATAGAACTTACTCGTCGTCCATCCCTTGAAGATGCTTCTCTTAATGATCGGTCCTAAAACAAAATAGAATGAAAAGTAAAATGTATTAACACTACGATACAGCTAAAGACGGTAATTCCTTAATAACAGAGCAATTCTCTTATTACGTCTTGTATACAAACAGAAGCATTCACATTAATATAAATTCTTCAATATTTTCTTACCAATAACCAAAATGCCCCTGGCATCCCTGATTTGTTTTTCTGTCGTTGTGAAGGAATATCGCGTTGTAATTCTTTGGCATCTGTGCGCCTTACTCCCAAAGCGGATGGTGCACCGGTGCCGTATAAAAAAACAAACATTCACATGTATTAAACAACTCAAAATATTTTTTTCACCAGAAATATAATTTCCCTTTCCTCACTTAATTTCTTCTGTCACTGCTATTATCACTCGCGTTGAACATTCTTAACACCTCTGTGCTTTGCTGCCGCCCGATGCTGGTGCACCTGCACCGTATGCACACACAAGCGTCTATATATATATATATATATATATCAAAAAAAAAAATTTTACCACAAATTAAAATGTCTCTTTCACTTTTCATTTCCTAATCTGTTTCTTTTTTTGTTTTTGTTGTTCTTTCACACTTCGGAGAGCTTTTTTTCGTATAAGGTCTCTGGATGATACAGACACCTGGTACTGGCGCACCTTTTCCTTCCAGAACGCCACAATTTTTTTTTCAGCGTCGCTCAAATCATTGGCATTGACGGGACCACATCTCTGCCAGCCATTCATCGGCGTGCTGTCTGCGTGCTGCACATAAATAATATCCCACGACAATTGTCGAGAAAATTTCTCCCAACCATTAAAATATTTAGCCATACGCTCATTGAACTGCCTCACGGTGCTGGGTATGATGTGATGCTCACTCGCCGTAGTCATCCGCAGCCCAACCAGCGTCTTCGGATTTGAGTTCACAAAGAAAAAGGCGTCCACCAGCGGAAAGTTTTGGGCCACCGGTTTGTACAACACCCGACGCTCTATATTAATCTTCTTTTTAAGATTTTTCAGGCACCGTAAAAGAAAGGGCTTGAGGGGGCGCTCATTTGGATGCTCTCTCAACGCACAGAGATGTGGCGGAGCATTTTGTTCTACTTTCAGCTCCGTGAGTTTCGGTATTATTGCACTTAAAAAGGCCTCGCTCAAAAAAGTAAACACTGAATGCTTTTCAAGGGCTTTTGATAAGAGATCGTCCTTGAGGGCCAATATGAGTAAAATAAAATCATTCGGCGCCATTAACTCCGCCAAATTGCATGTCACCAAATTTCCGAGATAGGAAGATACCAGTGCATTCAAAGGCAATTCGGATTTTTTTCCTCCTCGTACTCGTACGACCCTTACAAGTTTGTGAGAGATGCGATTATCATCACACACTTCATTACTCCCCAAAATAGAGTAATATTTGGTATCAAAAAGGTTCATTGATTTAACTGTACTTTCGCACGAGTCAATCCGATCATAGTATTTGCGCTGATCAAAGACGTAGCGAAGAAGTGGTCCCACTTTATCCATGCGATCCTTCACCTTTTTCCAGTAGTCCGCTTCTTCCTCCTCCTCTTCCTCCTCCGCTTCTTCCTCCTCCTCTTCCTCCTCTTCCTCCTCTTCTTCCTCCTCTTCTTCCTCTTCTTCCTCCTCAAGCTGCCCATTGTGCTCCTTCCAAATGCACATTGCCTTCACATCGCTCTGGTCAGGGCAATTAATTATGATTTGTTCCGCTCCCACCAGCTTCGCCCACGATTCGTAGTTGTTTTTGTTCGGTGGTGTCACCACAATCATGCCCCATCCCTCGCAAGGCAAAGTATTAGACGGTTGATGACCCTTCAATGCCATATCGTAGATAATATACCCTTTCACACCACGCCCAGAAAACCCGTCCAAAATATCCACGATATTAGACGCCGCGCGGTGTTTTTTCACCGTTTTGGCGGTCTTGTCAAAGAGAAATTTTCGATCTCCAAAACAGTAAGCAACCATTTGCAGTCGCTCCGCATCGTAGTGTAGCAGCTGGTAAAGGAGGTAAGAGCCGGCATTCATTGACTTTCCGATCCCGGGCGTCCCAATCAACACACGTCGCCTAGGCGAAAGTTTTTTCTTACAGTGACCGCTGAACCACGCGGTGAGATCCTTCCTGACGATCTGCCACACTCGCTCCACCTCACAGTTCACATAGCAGTCAGGAATAAATTCATCCACCCCCCCTTCCCACGTGTACGGCCATCCCTTGTCCGAGGTGAGCACCATCAGCCTGAGACGCGGTGCACCGGATTGCTCCACACCGTCATCCTTTTCGAGAGTGTCGCCAACCGCCTTGTACATCCATGACTGTGCTGGTTTCCCCTCCTTCACCTCCATTCCCATTTCCGTGTCGTCAGAAACTTCCACCACATGATGCCAACTCGCATTGTACACAGACTCGTAGTGTCCCTCCAGCACATGCATCCTTCAGCCACCTTCGTTGAATTCCGCGCCTGAGAGAAGACTATTTATTATTCTCTTCTGCGTGAGAATCGATTATATACCTGTTTTCGTGGTTGGATTGAGTTAAAGCCAGAATAATCTTCCGGGCAGCTGGCCGGATTCTGAAATAATCTATGGAAACCAAACAAGTTAGGAAAAAAGGTTCTTTATTTAATGGCTTCAATTTTTTCTTTTCATTCAATATATATAGAATTCTGTGGACCACTAGCATGGTCCTATAGTCCTCAGTTAGGATTTACATATAATTACTTACGAAGTGGCAGACTTTGGGGTCCTCCAACCACAAGACCCCGCCGCGTGGTGGGAATCAAGGGGGTGGGTGGGATGGCAAAATAAAAACAAATATTATCTTGCCTCTATCGGTTCCCTGCCCCTACAAAGTCGCGTTCTTCCCAAAAGATTCATACGGTAGAAAGTATCATAAAGAATGCCTTCATTTATCAGGATATAAACATACATTAATTAAGTTAGCCAGCTCTCCCGCGATCATTCTTTTCACAAGCTCCTAAACACTAACCACCAAGCAAAAAAAGGAATAAGAGTAAGAGAGAGATGGGGCAAATATGCACGAAAATAACTGACAGCCACAACAAAAGAATCACCTACACGGTTTGAAATGCACACCACATGCACAAGGACCACCACAACGACGGCAAGTGGGTGCCATCCACCCAGCACAGTGTTTTAAAGCGCAAACAATAACAACAATGTGGTGAGCGCGGAGGGTTCGTCCACGCATCCCGCTCGCCACAGTCCCGCACCCGTGTGGCACCGCCGTCACCGCACACACTCTGCAAGAGGACGTGGGCACATGAACCCTGACACAAACACACAAAATTTGGAGGAGTATTCGGTGCAGCAACGGCCACACGCAAGGACTCCAAATCATACACGCCACAACAGCGATGCATCATGGTAAGTTCCAACACAACAGAAAGGAGGGCAATTACACGCTTTATGAAAAATCCCCGCAATTCGCGCGGCAAAAAAGAGCCATGACACTCCCTTTCTTACTGCATTCGCCGTTCATATTCCCAAAGCGTGGCCCTGCAGATATCGCCCCTCCATGGTGAAAACGAATTCCTCGTTGTGTTGCCATCGCGCAGCAACCCGCCTGAATAAAAACAAAAGGAAAATCAGGCGTCTGTACACCTGGAGGGAAGAGGAACTCCACCGCAGTGTCCTCCACGACGCAAACACCCCACATCCAGTGCCCGGTGTCGTGTGCGGACTCCGCGAGGAGGTTGTGGGCACGCCACTGTGCCACGCGTCGTGTCCCCTCGAAACACAACAGCAGACGTGTTCCCTTCCGGTCGCACTCGTGGTGGTGGTATCCGCTGCCTCGCTGCGTGCTGGTGGCGTCGACTACGATGTTGCAGTGTGATATTGGATGCCCGACAGGAGCGGTGCTGAGTTGGGTGAGCAATGCCCTCTGCGGCGAGAAACACAGCGCGACTCTTGACCGCGGCGCTCACGCACCTCCTTCCGCTCCTCTCCCTCCATCCGGCAACCGCACAGCCGCCAGCACATTGTCCCCGAAACAACACACGTGAAAGCGTGGCAGCATATCTCTCGAGAGAACAGAGCGACAGCCACACACTGCGGCCATCGTGCCGACAAGTCCGACGCGGCCGCGCCCACACCCACAGCAGCAGACACACAAAAAGAGATCTTCCACTCCGTGCCAAGTCCTCGTGCGTGATGGTGCGGCATTTCAGAGCAATACCGCCACACGCCGTGCAGCATTCCCGCAGGGGATGAAAGCCACGACGCACTCTCAGTACATCTTTCTTTTTCATTTCCGCGGAATGCAGCAGCTGCCAGAACCGAGTGCACGAGAAGCATCAAGCTGCACTGCAACATGTACGCCGTGTGGTTGTGTGTCTGCAGACACGCAAAGAAAAAAAAAGAGCCACGCACGTGAAAGAACAAAAAAAACGCAGCGGAGGTGCAGGACAGACAAAGAGAAGAAAGAAGGCAGCCAAAGCTCAAGATGGCACGGCAGCCCAACATGCGGCAACCCACAATACGCCTGCAGAAACAAAAAATAAAAACTTAAAATAAAAAACAAGAAAAAATAAAAATCAAAAACAGTTCCCTTGAAGAAGTTTTTCATGCTCACACACACAAAAAATAAAGAAATAACACAGTAACGCAGAAAAACAAAAAAAAAACGTGTATATTCTTCCTGCAAAAGTAAAAATATATTTGCGTCAGCCGTTCAACCCCCTGGTGTCCACACAACACCCACGTTTCATTGGGACGTTCAGTGCGTTGCTGCACATCTTAAATCCCTTCTTTACCGCACCATCGTCGTGGAGCTCAATGCCGACTGCAAATGTCATCAACATACGGAAACACTAAAGACATCCCGCCAATCTCAATATATTCCACTATATAAAAAAAAACAAGCATATAGAATAAAGCAAAAACGAATACCTCGCGGTGCGGTCCCGGGAAGAAGAGCACGTTTTTAAATAAAGAATTGCACAGGCGGAAAAGGGATATTCAAACCAAAAATAAAATTTATAAAATAAAAGGTATATCCAAGCAAAACGTCAATTATTCCAGAAGATGCGTGGAGAGGTACATATTGCTCCCACTGGAGGCAGGGGTCCCGCCGCGTTACGCCCCGTAGAGGGCCGCAAAGCCCCAGAAGCAGCAGCACCCGCAACACGCGCACAGAGTCTTCGCTTTTCTTTACCGTTTTTAGTTCATCGACACTCAGTGGGCGGTCGTACAGAAAGACGTTCGTCACCGTCACATCGCTGCCGCTGCCTCCCTCGTCGCCCCCAATGTAGAAATGTGGGATTTCAAACCCCTGCGTCTCAACTGTTGGCATCGTCTCCGGGGTCCCCACAGGCCGGCCATCCACGTACACTGAGCCCTTGTTGCCGTCCTGCAGCATCAGCGCCACCTGATATTCCCTCCCAGGCTCCCACGTGCTGCCATGTGCTGTTTTTTTGCCGTTGAGCACCGTTTTCCACGTTTTATTCATGCTGTGCGACAGCCCAATGAGCTTCTTACTCTTACTGTCCTCCAGAACCGCACCCAGCAGAGGAGTGCTCCCACTCGGAACCTGGTGGATGGTCACCGTCGCCACAAGAGTGAAATTGTGGCTCACAAAGCCGTACTGTTTATTAGGTCCCCACCTGCTCATAGACCACATTGCCCTGGACCCAGGCGCCGTGAAATTAAACCCATTTTTGGCCTTCGCTGCTTTTGTCGCAATTGCATTCACGCAACGGTAATCGTCGATCCATGTGACATCGCCGGACGATGCGTCGGACAGGAATCCAACCAGACCCGCCGTGGGTCTGGAAGACTCGGAGAAAGAGGCATCCAGTCTCGCCCAATTACTGAGGGTGGACTTGATCGTCTTCAGCTCCTCCGTCAGGCGGGCAAGGGATATGCCCCGGCGCGTCCCCACAACACTCTCTCGTGAAAGGTGCAACGCACCATCCGAGTTCAGCAGGGCGTTGGCAAGCGTCTCACCCATAGCATTCTCCACAAAAAGCGGCCCAACATGGAACGTGCGGCTATTGTCCGTCACCCAAAGGTAGAGCGGATTGGCCTTATTCTCCCCCGAGGCGTACCCTCTCTGAATTTACAGCATCACCTTCCTTCCCCCAATGGTCGCGGTGATGAAGGCATCCAAATGCAAACTTTCGTCCCAACGGACTCCTGAGTGTGACTTGACCCACACGCCCGGGAGTGTTCTGGCAGCATTCTTCCACGTTTTCCCCATTTCACGCGACTTGAACACACTCTGACCATTAAAAATTCAAAAATCATGAGAATTTGTCCCGTCTCCCATTCGGTGATGCGGGGGCCAAGGCATTCCACAGAAAAAATGCCCTCTGGGAACACCCAGTTGTTCTCCTTGTCCGTCGAATAATTGATCACGGAGAAAGGTTGATTTTTCCCGTTCCTCGCACTCAGGGAAAACACAAGCGCGTCATTCTGCATCACAATGCCTGAGCCACCAGCAGTCACAAAATCCTTCATTTGGCCTTGAGTGTGTGTGGAGATCTGTTGCAAGAAATATTTGGATTCTTCCCAGTTGATCATTCCGCTCGGTTCGCCGTCCTTGGGCTGCGTGGCCACACCAACAACCAGTTGAATAACTGAGTCACCCGCCGCCCTTTCCTCATCATCATTGTCGTACTTCTCTTCACAGATTCCCGCAAGTGGAAACACCTTATTGTCCCCTGCAATGGATGCGGGCCAACAAAAAACGCGCAAACGATCATCGCCATTCCTACTGCCAAGCACGGTGCGTGCCCTCCACTCCTTCTTGGCGATCTCAGCGACAATGGACGGCCACGTCTCCGCAGCCTTGATGTACCCGGCCACAATGTCGGAATAACGAGTCCCAAATAATTTCTCGCGATAGCCGTTATATTCGAGGAAGCCCTCAGCAAATGCAACCATAACCCCGCCCGCACGGACGAGAGAGGGTGCGGCAAATGCTTCCTTCACCCCAGTCTCACCAGTCCCATTTTTTGGCAACACCTGCGTCTTATTCGGCACAAAAATAACGACCCCTTGCAGCAGCTGCACACCCCCTGGCTTGCTCTCCATAGCGTGTGCACCTCCACTGCCGCAGCACATCATAACAAGAAAAAGAAGGAGCAGCACCGCAAAAGTAAACACATGCCGGGACATGTTGGGCCTCTGCGGCTCACTCTCTCCTCCTTCCCTCCTCCTTCCGCTGGATCCGGTCACGCGGCGACGGTTGTGTGTGCGGGGTGCCATTACAGCAGCAGCAACACGGGAGAGCATACAAATATGTGTGTCGGCGGTGTGTGTGCTGTTGTTGGTCCTTTCAGTGCCTTCAAATTTCACAGTAGCGTTTAGTCGTAACTTCCTTCTTCGTGTGTGTTTTCAATAAGTGAAAAGGACAACGACAGCGGCAAAAAGACAGTACAACAACGGTACACACCGCCACCACTCACAGCAAACCACAACATCACCGTCCCCGCAGCCATTATTCACAGCACCCCTCAAAAGCATAAAAAAATAATTTCAAAGTGTGAGCAGTCTCCCAATGGGGGACCGAAGGCCACGGACCTGCAAATAAGAAAAATGACAGGGGGCCACTTTTGCAGTGAGGGATACGAGAGTGGCACTGCAACGACACGGCAGCGTGATGCCCCGTGGAGAGTACCGATGAAGACCAGCAACATCGCCTGCAGGAAGAGTTGCTTTTCCCGCTCAAGAAAGAAGAAAAACAGCCTCAGCAGCCCAATAACGAGAGGTCGTCTGCACCTCCTCGCAGCACATGCAAGCTCTGCAGACACAAAGATGCAGGTGACGCTCTGCTGCACGCATGACGGCCGTCTCATCCTTCACAATGGCAATCGCATCCTGTCGCACCACACGCCGCAGTCGATGCGCACAGTCTCCGTCTCCCTCCCTCATTTCCCTCTCCCTGAGAACTCATCGGTGGACGTGGCACACTCACCAACATGTCTGAAAGCACTTGTTTTTCTTCTTCCCTCGCACATCGAACAGCAGCTCCGCCAAACGCATGCCACTCCTTCGTTCGCAGATTCCCCTCAGACACGCCTCCTGCCACCTTCATCGGCCCACAGGCACGCAGTCCGTAAAAGTCACGCAGTCGCCCCGCACGATGGAGCCGCACACACCAACACGGCACAAAGCCAATCGGCGCAAGCAGTGTCTGGACACACAGAACAGGTTGCCCCAGTCAACAACAGCCCCCTCCAAGCAGTGAGACAGGACTCGTCAGTAACAATCAAACAATCAGCCCTTAGTCTCCTCCTTCCGCCATGCACGAGGTTCTGCCCGCCCCATGCATCATACGTGGCGCCCGGGCTCTCAATGAGTAAAAAAGCATTATGCACCCCTCCGCTCATTGAGAAACCCTCTGAAAATTCTCAGCCAGTCGTCGCCATGGGCCATGCATGAGGAGCACCACGGCAAGAATGCACAGGATCTTATATGCAAAACCCTCAACTCATTCCACGTCAGTGAAAAGTATGGCATCATGCCTGGGCTTTACAAGAATGTCGGCTGGCGCTTCCCCGAGAGGCCTCCCATAAACACCGCACGTGGTCAAAGTAAAGAAAAAGCAACGCCTCCAGTCTGGCTGTCACCCCGCGGCAAACATCAAAGCACAATCCAACAAAATGCCGCAAATCATCACATATTCCACACAGACCATCGACAGCTTACGCGGCAAATGCACAGCACGGAAGAAGAGCCATGCTCACGAACACGCAACACACAGAAACAGTAAGAAAGTTGGGAAAAGCAGCACCCAAAGCCATTCTTTGTGGATGCAAATGATAATGGCACTAAACAACGCGAAGCACCAGTCGGGCACCACATGTGGGTCACAGACACCACCCACCTACCCACTCACTCTTCCTCCTCCCAATGGTGTGGCCCTCCTTCACCTCCACGAACACGCCTGTCCCTCAGTTATGTGTGCCTCTAACGCAAGCACTCAAGGTGCGTTTCGGTAATCCAAAATTCAACACCTATAAAAACAGAGGAAATGCTCGCAGAGGCCACACGGCTCCTCAACGCGCCCTCAAGCCCTCTTCACGACTCTGCAATGCGATGGAGACGAATACAGGCGGCTCTCGTGTCACAGAAGACGGCCAATGGGAGCGGTGCCCACATGCAGAGAATGCCAAGTAAAACAGAAAAGGGAGGAGGTTCGCAGAGGGTGTCACCCGCCACGCCTGATGTGTGTCTTCTCATTCGTGCGATGGAGAACCAACGACACGGTTGTTGCGGTGCCTGCCCGTGCGTGCACCTCACACTCGGGCCAATGAACGCCTCAAAAAACATCCTGCAGAGGGCATGCAGCTGACCGTGCAGACAATCCCGAGTCTCGTCAACGTTCCAGCAGCCGCTCTTTTGGCGAGGCGTCGCTCTCTTTCTTCCTTGTCTCCCGTGCGCCATCCTCGTATGAAATGAAAATGCTTTCCACAACTGGCGTCATCAAGCACCTCCAAATAAATTAGGAAGAATTCACGGCCTCGAGAAAAATTCCCAAAGTGGCAGTCAACGTGAACTCAGCAACGCATGTCATCTTCCGCAGCCGCGTGCATTGCAACTCCCCTCAGCCGCTCAGTTTTTCTTCCTTCCTTGTAGACCCAAACCGCATAGTACACTTGGATTTGCTCGGGTCCTCCACAGGCTCGTGTAACCGTGTCCACCACGCCCGTGCAGCTCGTGACTGCATCACTTCCCCGTCCACTTCTGCGGCACCGAATAGCGTGAAATAGGGATCAAAAAAAACACATCTACAAGGTAAACACACATGCATCGCTCCAACGGGTGCCACTGTGAGAAATCACACGACAGCACACTATCTCTCGCCCTCCCAACAGCGATTTGCCGTCAACAACAACAACGGCATTGAGAAGCAGCCTCGGGGCAATCCCTGAGCGCCATCCCCACCTCGGCGAGCGACCCACTCCGGGAACCCGGCACTCCAGTGCCGTTCCGGGAAGAACTCCCGCCACCGCCAACCGTTTTTCCCTGTCGCGTTGACGCACGGAACCCGCTTCAGAGAAACAACAACACGCTCCATTCAAAACGTGGCTATGAGAGTGCATGGCAACAGGCGCAGGGCGCACCCTCTCAGTTTCCAGTGCCGAAAAAGTAAAAGAGCATCAGTGCGGACTTGCTACAGCACGCACAGTTGTGCCTCTGTTGTCCTCCCTCGTGCTTTCCCAAATAAATCTTAATGCCCGCACTGCGGTAGCACGTGCCCTCACACCTCGTGGTGTTTAAAATGTGCCCCAGCACAAAGCAGCTGGTCCGGACGCTGGTAGATGACGTCTGCATTGCGCCAACAACAATCCCACGAGGGAAAAATTGCGGGCTCCTGGATTCTCCCGGCAATACGGGATACGGCCACAGCCACGCAGCCAACACACAACGCACACGGAGCGAGCAATCCCCCAAAGAGCCACACGCGGAAGCGGGCCCTCATCCATCAATGACGCGGCGCCTCATTCCATGCGGTCACACGGAGCACACCATTTCTCCAATAGAGCTTATCCTTCGTCCATCCCTTAAAAATGCTTCTGTTAGTGATGGGAATCAGAACACAATAGAAAAATATGGACAATGCAGTGGTACTGCGACACCGCCAGCCACAATGATTCCCTCATACCGGGGCAATTCTTCAATTATACCTCTTGTGCACACACACAATCAACATACTATATAGAAATCACCCAATGTTTTTCACCAGAAACCAAACAACCCCAATCCCTCCCTAATTTCTTCTGTCACTGTTATGTTCGATAGCTTTGGTCAGTTTTGACATCTTTTTGTAACACTGTCACCTGATGCTGGTGCACCTGCACCGTATGCACACACAAAAGTATCCAAAAATATATAAATCCCACAATATCTTTTTACCATAAATCAAAACTACCCCTTTCATTCCCTAATTTATTTTTACCATTTCGGTGGTTATTCCCCACCTCAGAGAGCTTCGTCTCTTCTAAATCCTCCGGATGATACTGCTGCTATGTACTGGCGCACCTCTTCCTTCCAGAATGCCGCTATTTCACGGCCTTCATCGTCGCTCACATTATAGGAATTGACGACATCACATCTCTGCCAGTCATTCATCGGCGTGCTGTCTGCGCGCTGCACACAAATAATATCCCACGACATGTCTCGGGATGATTCCCCCCAACCATTAAAATAAGCCGCCAGGCACTCAGTGAACTGCCTCACTGTGCTGGCGGTGGTGTGATGCCCACCCGCCGTAGTCATCCGCAGCCCCACCAGCGTCTTCCACGGTGACTTCAAAAAGAAAAAAAAAGTCCACAAGCGGAAAGCCTGCACCCGCCGGTATGCACAGCAGCCGATGCTTTATATTATTATTTTTATGGTATTCCATTGCAACCACTCCACATAAGACTCGGCGCGGTGCCCTTCAGAATTC